ACAGAGAAATAGGGAAAGGGCCTATTTTCTGAAATCTAATTTGGTAGGAAATACTCTTTTAAAAATGCTCCGCTTGTTTCTTGAAGAGTGGCCATATTGGTCAATATAATCACCAGGAATAATGGTATTTGGTGGATATCACAATCCTTCAGTCTAGCCAAAGAAAAGATTGTGATACTCTCCTTTTCGTGCCATTACATATTATAAAATATTTGTATTCTCATAGTGACATCTCAGCCAACTTACACCGAAAACAAGTATCTGGTTTTTCCCCCCCCCTACTTTTCTCTTCCTCCATATTCATACATCTTGATTATTAATCCCTGTTTGTGAGAACAAGGATGGCTGATGCTTTAAAGCTGCATAGATTTTGGGAATGCTTCTGTAAAGTCTCTAGCACTATTAATTGACTGCTTTGTCTATATGTATATATTTGATTAGTATAGATATCTTGTCTGTTTTTACTAGGTTTTATGCGTTTTGAAGGAACAAATACATGTTGAGGGACCAGCTTCTAACCATCTCAGCTTCTGCAAAGAGTTTAATTTGTCTGGAAGGCTAATAAGCAAATATTATCCCCTCTATATGAGAAATCAGTTCTTACTTAAAAATATCTAAGTAATAAAACTTGTTATTTCATAAAGACTTTTCTCAAGACCAGAAGAGAGCTGAGGTTATTCCTGGTTTAATAACTGTTTGGCTTTTATTCTGGTCTATGCAATGGTCTTACGTACTTCTGCTAACTTTGTTAGGTAAGATGTGGTGGTCTCAGCTTTTGAGTTACTAGAAGACTCACTTTTAAGCGACTTCTCCACAGCTACTTACCTTGTAGTTGCGTCAGGCCCGGTTTCTTACTCTGATTGTCTTGGCATATTTGAAAGCTAAGTGGAATGTTGCACACCTTTGTTTCTTATAAAATTAATAAGAATTTTTGTTATTTTGTTCCTGCAGTTTCCTAATGAGTTAAAGGATTCCAGAATCTGTAACATCAGAAAGGTGGCGACTCTGAAATTGCGTGTAATGGAATGGAAGAGCTAGATGTGTATGGTTCGTGCTACCTCTCTTTACACTGAATGAGATAGTTAAACACTGAACCAAAGACGACATGCAGTGCCTTAAACATAACAAGGAATTTACTCTGAAGGACACAGAGTATAAGATGCAATCTCTTTTTCGTAAGCTTTACATCTTCTTAAACAGCTCTACTTCTAGTGAAACTCAGAACTTAATGCTTAGAACTACCTTTCCGTAGACTAACTAGAAACAGTACTTTAAATTCAATTGGATAATCTGTTTCCCCTATGTTTCTCTTCCCCTCAAATATTTATCACTTTATTTCTGTTTGTGCATAGCAGGTGGCAGTAGCTTCTCTGTCATGCCTTTTCACGGTTGAGAAAACATCTTCATCTACCTGGAAATCTTCTCCTTCAGTCTGTGTGCAACCCTTGGAGCATACTCCAAATTCCAGTGTGGAATGTGCATATCCTAGAGCTGTATCTCATTTTTGAGAAGCATACTTAACTGCTGCATGATGCAAGAGGTTGTTTCACAGATGAAGGGAGAATTTTCAACAGGTAGAACTGAGTTAAGTCAATTATTCATTAAAAACTTTCTTTGCCAAATGCTGAAACCGTGACATTTGAGTTGTACGCGTTGGCTCAGAGCTGAAAAAAATACACAGACCATCACTCACACTCAAAAATACAAAACAAAGCTACAAAGGTAACTAGCTATCTGTAGCATGAATTAAAGGTTGCTAGCAGTCTTTCAATTTACTGCTCAGAGCCCTGACAAACCAACAGGTATCAGATTTTTGGTCACTATGTAAGTTCTTGCATTCTCCATTTACTTTCTGCAAGTTTTTATCCTTGGAGAGGATATGGGAGTGGGCAGAGAGATCTAATCCCAGGATAAATTATCGTTACCCCGGGAATGATTTAGCCTTACAATTGAATGCACGTGCTTTTTGCTCTCTTGTTTTATTCTCTTATCTCGCAAAGATACTTTGCCTTAAGGATTCTTGAGTGGAAGACATTGTGCCTCAGCCCAAACTGTTGTGTAGTTCAGCACCTGTACTACAGGAAATCTTTGCAGCCTGATTCAGTAATCCTTCCATAGGCTGTGGTGGCCTTGGAGGTTACTAGTCAGAGGAAAATAAGATGAGACTTCTGTCTCCTGCTTCTGCCTCACCCCTGTCTCAAGGAGTTACAGAATTTGGATGCTTTAGATTGAATTTCGGAAAGGACTATATCATTCAAAGCAGAATGTTATTCTTATGCAATTTTGCTAAATTAACACACATCTCAAGTGCCTTAACTTCACTAATTTAGTTGTTTGGTGTTTCAACTTGTTGAGATGCATTTTTCTGTGCCATACAGAATGACAAGCCTTAGTGGAATGGATAAATTCTGTGCCTGACTGGATTTTTGACAATTTTCAATAAAATTTTTTAGTCTAATCCATGCTCCTGTGTCTTTTGAACTTTAACATAAAACAAACCTCTTTTCTTCCACTGTTGCTTCAATGTGTTAATAAAAATGTCTGTATATAGTAAGTAAACTGAGTATGGCTGAGTAACACATATATGTGTTTATGCGGGGAATTACAGCCCAAAATACCAGTGTTGGAGATCTTCTCATGTAGCCAACTAATAGCATAAAGATTGCATTCGCTTTACTTATCTTTGACAGCTGTCCTGAGGTGAAAATCTTGGCTTCCTGGAGTCCTAGACAGATCCACTAATAGTGTTTCTGGAGGTGGAATCTAGTTAGCACTGTATATTTGCCTGGAACGACTCTGGACTGCTCTACCTGTTGCTTATTTTCCTGCCCTGTTGGTACAATGCTTCCAATAAACTTTTAGGCTGGTTGTACTTCAGTCATTAGCAGTGCGGGTGAAAGTGGCTTACGCTCTCATTCTAAAGTAGTAATGTTTTTTTCTTAAACTTTCAGACTTGTTTCTAATTTTTCTGACATGGTGCATATTTTATCTGATCTCTCTAAAAAGCATCTAATCCTGTATTAACTAACTTTAAACAGGTGCACATCACACTGGTGGGTGGTGGAGAGTGTTGGCCTTCCACTGAGGCTGGTATAGTTGTTGAGAGTTTGGGATTTTCCTCTTTTTCCATGCTGAAATGAAATGAATATGAAATGAAAATAACACTTAACTTTTTCCAACAGTTTTTCTGCTCTCTAGGCTGAAACTGAAGTACATGGAGGAGGGAACAAGGGTGATAGCGGAGCAAAAGAAGATTTGAGTGCTTGCGAGGACCTGTAGCAGATTTAGAGAGCATGCAATTCTAAAAGGATTTGACTTGTGCAGCAGTTGAGAGGTAATGGCCAGCTGTAATTGGTACCCAGAGCGATTCTTCGGAACTGTTGGCACCTGCATCTCACTAACTAGCTAGTATAATACAGTTCTGGACCAGTAGAACAAAGGTGGAAGAGGCAACGTGTTTGAGAACTGGTATGCTAAAAGTGGGAGTTTGATGAGGCCATCTCCTTTAGAAAGTGAGTCATTAAACAGCTCATAAGTACTGTAAAAGCTCACCCTTAGAGAACACTTAGTATAATAAAGGGAGGAAATGATATGTTCTGGAGCTGAAAATGGACCGTGTGGTTTCATTAATGTGGCTGACCGTAAAGATTAATGCTTTTTCTGCTTTTGAGAAGGGGCTGTGGTGTATTTAAAATTTATTTTGGAATAATAGCGAGAAGTAATTCAGGGAGTTCTCTGATGAGGTAAGCCCAAGGCAAGATAGTAAATCTAACTGGATTAATCTAGGTAATGGTTTGTGTTACCTACAATTTACTGGAAGCTCCTGTTTTCAACCCATTCTAGTGTTCAGCACAGAATGTGCTTCTTAATGGTGATGCCTAGTTGTCATTCCTGCAGTTAAGCCTTAAACAGAGGAGCTTTGTAAGCACGTGCTCTTCAGGGGCAGAACTGCTTAGTCCTCCAACAAGATGGAGAACGTGCTCAGCTCTGCATTTGCTGTGTGTGGCTTAGTGCTTGTGCAAATTGCCTTAATTAATCCCATGGCTGGTGATGTCCGTGTGGCTGAGCGTACATATGCAATCATGTGGTTCAGATACACCTTCAGACGTGAGGGTAAGAACAAGTTAAACCTTTGGGCTGGTGATGGGATGGCCGTCAGTGTCTGGGGAATATGATGAGCTGATGGTTGTCTAGAGGCTTTAGGAGAAAAATGTAGCTGCTTTTATCGTCACAGCTATTGGACATCTAACTGTGAATGTACAGCAAGGCTTATTCTGACCCTTGTTAAAAATAAGTGTAAAACTAAGAATCACAGGAACGCTTTTTTTATTCCTAGTCTATATTCCTGACAAATGAAAGTAGAAGCTTTAGAATTCATGAAGAAAGTCAATTGCGTAACTTTCTGAACATTTGGAAGATCCAAAGAAAATCAGATGCCTGAATTGCATGTGTACCCTTGGATATGCTGCCCTTGACATCAGGTTATGTTAGATTGTGGCATCTTGTAGCCAGACTTTGTCAGGAGAAAAGAATGGGCTGTAGTGTTCCTTCAGTTTATTACCAATGGTTTCTGATAGTGTGTTTTAAAAATTATCCAGTGTATAACAGAAAATCATGCTGAAACTGGATTTTTAAGAAGTTAAAATTTCAAAGTGCTTTCATCTGCCATGAGAAGTGAATTCTCACAAAGGATTTGGAGAAGTACTGGCACTTTGTTTCTATGTTGGACCTTGATGTTTACTGCTTTCTCATGCTGAAAAGGGTTAATTATCAAACGCAGACTGCTACTCAACTGATTCCATACCATCACTTTGAACTTTATTAAGGGGACTAGAACAACAGCAAAACAAAGAACAAACCCAGCTCTTGAGTGAGCAGTCATCTGTTTTCAGTTTTTATCTTGCTTTTTCTCTGATGAATAGAGAATGAGTTTCATTGTACATAATCCATTCCATTTAAAAGCTCAGATCTTGACCACTCCTATAAAAAGAATTTAAGTATAGTGGTTTATTGTTCTGCATCTATTGTGCTACATTTATCAGAGGTAATAATCTGAAAAAGATGTATATGTAGTTTGTATTTCTAGGTCAGGAGCACATAAAGTTATTAAAATATTCTCTTGTCAATTGATTACTATACATGTCTTTCAGCCATTTTTCTTAAAAGTAGGCTAATATCTACTTAAGAAAGCTAATTACTATCATTATGGAAAAAAAAATCAGCACAACGAAACTCTACAGTGGCCCTTGGTTTGTCCTGCAAACTAAGCTCAGAATCCTCGTTCTTCCAGGTATGTTGGAGCAGTGCGCAGTGTCGAGTAGTGGAGCGCTGGGGGAAGGGGTCCTGTGTGCTGGGGGGCACAAACTGAAACATGAGAGGTTCCAGCTGAATGTGAAGAAGAACTTCTTGACTTTGAGGGTGCCCGAGCCCTGGCCCAGGCTGCCCAGGGGGGCTGTGGAGTCTCCTTCTCTGGAGATATTCAACCCCCACCTGGACGCTGTCCTGTGTAACCTGCTCTGGGTGAGCCTGCTTGAGTAGAAGGGTTGGACTGGATGATCTCTGGAGGTCCCTTCCAACCCTTGCCATTCTGTGATTCTGAAACTTAACTGTGTAGGTGTGTTAGATGTGCAGAATGTTTCTCCACAGATGCATGCCAATGCATGCGGTATCTGTCCATACACAGATTTTAGTGTGCTTCTACAACCTGTTTTTTGACAATCTCGTGACGGTATCAGGGTTTGTCTTCTGCAGTAATTGTTGGGAGATGGAAACATTTCTGGTCTTACTTTTATTTTGACCTTTTCTCACAATAGGATTTCATTTTCATGTGCAACTTTAGATATAAGTTATGAATTGGAATTAAATGTGGGGGTTTTTTAAACTGCTTTCAAATACCTTCTTCCATCCCCCAAGGAAATAGTAAAAGAAAAAAACTATTATAGAGTAAAAGTAGTAAATATGTCCACGTAGTTACTCTAAATCAGTAGGATATTAGTCCGTAAAGCAGACTAAGTCCCTTGAAGAGGAAAGTAAATGTTTTGTGTTCTTATTTTAATCACACAATTGGAACACTAATGCAGAGCTAAGAATAGGTAATGCTTTTGGTTTGATTCATCTGCCTGGTGGCAAAAAAAAATAGAACGGCTTTTTGCAATTTTTAATGGAATTTGTAGCAGCCAGTCAACACGGATTTATTTTTTTTTCCTTCTAAAATTTAGCTAGAAGGCAGGTGATGCTTTGGTCTTTTAAAACTGTAGCATTGACCCTGAGATAGCGTTTGTTAGCAAAGCTGTTATTAAACTTGCTGTATTGCTAAGATTCGGCAATTACAGAGTGCTGTTCTTGGGTAAAATGTTGAATTGTAAAGCTTGTTTAGACCGGTTTGTAGAATTTCCCTGCGATGCATAAGCTGGTATGTGCTGAAGTGCGAAAATGCTATTTATTTTATTATCATTGCCTTTTAGAATGAAATAGATACTGAGGAGTAGTTATACTTCAGATGGCAAAGCTTTCACTTAATATTTTTTCCTCAAATTTTGCACATTGTGTTATGAAACCAGATGACTTGGTTTTGTTTTTTTTTATTTTAGTTTCTGCAGAAAAATATATTCATTCTCAAAACTGTTTATTATAAAGTGAATAGTACTTGGGTCGCCGGTTTCAATTTCTGTGTGGTGGTGGTGGTCCCGTTCCGGTTTGGTTCTGTGGGGAGATGGGAGTTTAGAGGAAAAAGCAAGCCAGCAGAGTTGGGTAGCCGCCTCAGGAAAGCGCGTACCTCCTTGCCCCCCGAACAGGGATGTGTTCCAAGCCTCTTCTTTTCATACAGATTTTAACATCTGACAGGAATGTAGAAGCTGCTAGTACAAGCAGGGGAAAATTATCTTGGCATACTTATGTGAAGCTGCCAAGGATGTGTTTCCTTATCTGGAGACTTTTCTGTGGTTTTTCTTTTTTTTTTTAAAAAAAAAAACAAACAACAAACCCCACGAGTTCTAGAAGCAAGGCTTAAGCAAAGCTCTAGCTAGCAGAGTAACTTGGGTGCTGTTCAACAAGTTCAACCTCGATAATTCTCAATATATAGCTTTCACCGTTCGCATCTTGCTGTCCTTTTATTCTGTACTTGGGAAACTGCCTCCT